TATATATATATATATATATATATATATATATATAACATTGGGTGCAGTTTGCAAACGGATGCATCCGTAGGTGTATAGGTAAGGTGCACCTTCAAATTTTATCATGGTATATAATTTTGATGTAAAATGTCATTAGGATTATCTCAAAATCTATTTTTATATCTAATTATAAAATTTTAAATTTAAAAAATGGTCAAAATCAAGTAGATATATAAACATATGAAAATCTTGAAAATGGACGGTGTAGTTAATATGTTGTAAAATACACTATTTCTGATAATTCAAATCTTTTTATTTTTCATGGTCATACATTTCGATGTCGAGATGATCAATCGAAGGGTTTTCAACATTAAAACTACCTTTTCTGATGGATTTTTGAGGTGCATCCGTAGCTCTACATTATAAGGTTGCATCCTTATATAAACTTTTTCCTATAATATTAAGGTGCTCACACTATAGAGCATTTTATAATTGTACTCAACAAATTTTGGACACGTATATTTACCAGGGGTCCCATCTTGTAAAGGTACTCTTGGATTAACTTTTACCTCTTGTATCTTCCTCTCTATCAATACAAAAGTTAACAGTTATCAAAAAAAAAAACTGGACACTTATATTCCTTGTTTTGTAATACAATATTTTTTCAGTACAGTATTTTTGGTCATTAGGAAGAGTGAAACATCATCCATATGGGATGTGACATCACCCATGTGGAGCATTAAAGGCCACTAGTATGCTTTGTGTGGGTGATGTTACACTCATATGGATGATGTCACACCCCTCCTAATGACCAAAAATACCCTTACTAAAAAAATGCTCCATGTACAAAACAAAGGTATATAAGTGTCTAAAATTTGTTGAGTACAATTATAAAATGCTCTATAGTGTGGGCACCCTAACATAACCCTATATATATACCCGATATATATAAATTTGGGAAAACAATTCATCAAAAAGCCATGATTTCTAATAATGTTTGAATTTTAATATTTTTTTATAAATCAGATTAACCTCAAATTGTGTGTGTGTGCTCACCTCAGTGAGGCAAACCTAACCAAAATATAAAAAAGCAATTCAAACCAAAAAAATGACCAAATTACCCCCATGAATATTTTAGAGGTATTTTCGTCATTTATTTTCACTTTTTTGATATTTTATTTTTGTGCGAGTTTATTAGAAGTAGACATGCCCCAAATTTCAGATAAATCAAATTTGTATTGAGAATATTATTCAAATGTTGTTGTATAATCATGGCCATGTGATGGACTTTGCATAGTGATGAGCCATGAGTAAAGTACTATAGAAATTCACTCATAAGTATTTGCAAGTGTCATCCATATAAATGTATATGCAAATATGTATATACATATGTATATGTAAAAATTTTCCCCATTGCGACCAACCAGTTCCGACAGAAAAACCAGTTGATTGAGAGATTGGACCAGTTGATTCACTAGTCGATCAAGAGATCGGACCAGATAGTTAACTGTACCATCCGGTTCAAGGGGGTAAACCAGATCAGACATGCAACTGATTTAGCAGCTTCTTATTCAAATCCAACCGGTCTAGTCTGGTCTCAAGATTATCGCAATAAACATCTGAAATCCAAAGAAAATGAGAAACAAACTAGAAAATGATGTAACATAATGTCTTTGAAGTTGCCTACCTATACAAAGCTTCTTGGAAAGATAGCTCCCCTTTTGGTGCAAACATAATGGAAGCAAATGATGCAGCAGCCGCTGGGTGTTGAGTAGTTTCTAATATGCGGGAGAACACTTTGTCAATCTTTGTTGAGTGATCCACATAAACTTGCTCAAGGATATTCTTTATGCTTTCAGGATCACTAACCTTTTGCCATCTAAACTATCAAAAAAACCATTTTAGTCACAAAAAAATAGCAAAATCTGAAGGTTAAAGAAATCTTTTGAATATCATGGCATTTGACAAAGTATTCAGTAAAGTAGGTCAACTTTAGTAATCCAAGGAAAGTATAATCAGGGCCGCATTGTTTCCCACCAGGGCTCCATTTGTGTTCAGCAGTGACTTAAAATCAACGATCCAGATAGGGAATCACCGATCCTGATCAGGAATCGCAATTTGAATCTAAATCAATGTGTACAAGGGCTGATTCTTCACCCGGTTCCAACTCAATCCATTCTTTCGTAAATTCCTTCATTTTTTTCTAATTTCTTCAAATACAAAAATATTATTTCGATTATTTTTTGACCGATTCCCAACAGATAATCCATCCGAAATTCTTGGTAGTGGCGATCTAGATCAGTCCAACTGGTGACCAATCTGGCCACCCAATCCCGATTTTAAAATCTAAAACATTGGTGTCAATGAACATAACAATATGAAAGAAAACCAACAAAACAAAAACGAAAGTAAAAAGCAACCCTCGGGAGTTAATAGACACCAAGTTATAGGAAACTTACACAAATTCCATGAACTTTCTCACATTAGCAGGCAGAGGAAATGTTCCAGCCCAGGGGAATAATTTGGCTAGCGTCGGCGACCTTTTAGGATTTGGAAGAAATCCCCAGAATGGTGTTGCATTGAGCAGAGTAATACCCTTCACTAGGTGAGGGTAGCAAGCTGCAAAGTATATTCCCACAAACCCTCCTAAAGAATTTCCCACAACATATACTGGTTCACCAATGACCTGTAGAGGGCATTACCATCTCAGACAATTTTATTGTATTACAACAGTAGATGTTAAATACATGCTCAAATTTTTAACAGAATTAAAGACTCTGCAAGTGTACGGTTTGGGAACTACAGCATAAAAAGTATCAACTAGTCCTAATCCTTTTTTACATGAACATTTATGTGCAATCCTACGAGTTACAAAATGTTAGACAGGGCATCTAAAATCATCATTTCAAAATTTATTGAGAAGACTATGATCTTGACTGTTAACTTCACTGCCCAATGCGAACATAAAAGGTATTAAGTTTCCATCTCAATTGATTTTCCCTGATTGGAAGGTTTCTAGTGGATCACCAATCATGCCTAGAGCTTGAAAAATATATACATATTCAACTTTAGAACCCCACATCTAACAAGATCGTGAAAGATCAGATCAGATCCTTCAACTTCAGTTTCAAGAAAAACATGGTCCACATAATATTGATTTCAAAAAAAAAAACATGGTCCACATAATGTCCAAATATCAATCAGATTGAGCACCATTTTACTGAAGAATAACTCCAATCAACTGATCTAGACTAGAATAAGAAAGAATGGTCAGTTGGCTAGTCTAGTAAGGTCTCAATAATTGGATACCACAGCCTTAAAACTGCATATCAGAAAACGAATAGAAAGAGAACCAGACCAAGAATATGAGAGAACCAACCTTAAAACTGCATATGAGAGACAGGGATAATATTCTAAACTGAAGAATACTCAGGATGGATTGCATAAAATAACTAAATTGAAGATCGCTCAGGATGGATTGCATAGAATAATATGTAGCATAAAACTTGAGTTTAACTTAGCTAGGTACACACTTAGTATGATACCACGTTAGAGAACCATAGCAGCATGAAGAGATGAGTTGTCAGTAACTAAAGCTGTCCATAGTGTAACCATATATTATCCACCACTGGAGCAATGGTGTTGGGACATTCTCCTGCTATAATCTTATGTAAAAGTTTCATTTCGAAGATAGAACAATAAATTGCTTCTTTGGCCATTAACAACAGAATTGAAAAATAATTTAACAAACTCTTTTCGATCAATAAATGAAAATTGGTTTATTACCTCTTCCACAAAAGTTTGAATTTGATCGCGCCAGAGATCGACAGAGTAAACAAGGTCGCTCGCCCATGGCTGTGTCTCAACCCCAAAACCCCAATAAGAATAGGTACCAGCTCCAATAGAAGGAGCAGGATCCTCAGACGGGAGAGACAGGCCTTGCCCTAAAAAATCAACCGCCCAAACCCTATACTGTCTGCCAAGATCCTTCAATTGCTTCTCAAAATGAAAGGAACCAACCCCAAATCCAGGAAGAAAGAGAAGAGCAGGAGAATTCACATTCTCTGAACCCGCTTTCTCATAATGAACTGTAAATTTAGGTTTCCATACCCAGAAACAGCTAGCGATTGGAGTGCCAAGACATTCGTCTGGTAAGCCAGGAATTGTAAGTGCTTTCTCTGAAACTCCAATTTCTCTGAAACCCTCATCACCTCGGATGATATGAGTGTTCGGGGTATCGACGGATACGCTCTCTCTGAGAAAATCCAATGCCACCGAATACTTCCTCTGAGCTCTGAGATGCTTGCCACTATCCAGAGCCATTGTTCTCCATAAAGAGCTTCTCTTGGAGCATGAGTTGCAGAGATGGTTCACCCTCAGGGGCTTGCTCAGAATTAACTTTCTATTGACGCGTCTGGTTCTTAAATTACTGGAATTTGATTGAAGGACAGACAAAGGGATGGGACGAGACAGGGCTACCAGGTCCATGACAAGAAGGCCCATAGGAAAAGGAAAGGAGGTAGACTCACTAGAGAGAGTTGGGTTCCTGCATAATAGCTTTTCCGCTCTCTTCTTCTTGCAGGCTAGAAAGAAGATCATGCTCTACCAGTTCTCTGCATGTTTGGGTCCTTTTCAAGAGAGAGAGAGGTCTGTCACTCTGTTAAACTGAAATGATAGAGAGAGAATTTTAGAGAGAGAGAGAGGGAAGGAGAGAGCAAATTATGAAGCTTGGGTCATATGCAATGGTGGGTAGGAGGAGGAAAGGGTGGAGTACACGGCTCTCTCTCTCTGGGCGTTGCACTCCCACTGTGACCGTTTTGCAGATGAGAGAGCGACACAAAAATTTGATCAAATATTCAAATAATAGAAATTGGTAACTGATAATATGGCCTTACCCCACTTCTTCTGCTTCAAAATCTTTTTATTTTTTCTTGGAAAATTTTCGTATAGAAACTTAATTTCACGTATTATTTCAAGGTAGATCATCTTTTCTTTTTTTTAATTTTTATAATTAAAAGTTAATAAAATATAGAGATAAGATATGAGGGGTATAGTGAAATCCTCAAGGATTTATTTATGTTGCTTGAAAAAAAATAAAAAAGAATGCCTACAATATAATAATACGAGAAATTAGAGTTCCATACGATTTTTTTATTTTATTTTATTTATACATAATCAGTCATTTCATCTTAAAACAAAAAACTTGTTTCCACATAGGAGATGGAAGAAAAAACCGTCAAAACACATGTGACTCAAAAAAAACATATGTTGAAATCATTCATCCAAATAATGTTTTCTGGATTCAACCTCACGAAATAATTTTCATTTCTGATTTCAAAATATTGTTTTTGATTCATTTGTTACAGTCATTGGTTTAAAAAACGGATTGGTGCCTTAGATCGGGCATTCTAAAAACCCATCCGGATCGATGAATCGGCGATCCGGATCGATGAATCGGCGATCCGGATCGAGAATCGATCGAATCTATCGGATTAAGCTTTAAAAAAAATTCAAAAAAATTATTAAATTTCATTATAAATATTGTTTTTTAGGAAGCCAGTAAAAAATGGGGGTATTGCACTATTAACTTTCATTTTTTTCATCAATTTGCGAATATTGAGATGTTATTTCCCTATATGAACTTATGTTAACCATTAAATTTACATCATACAAAAGAAAAATCATAAAATTATCATGGATAAAATATGTAATCATACATAAACAACAATAAAGAGTGAATTAAATAGATGAAAAATGACTACTAAAATCTCTAATCGGCGGAAAACCTTAATCTGCTAAAAAAAACCCAAATTATTACAACCTAACTAACTATAATCCAAAATTATTACAACCTAACTAACTATAATATTATATATTGAAATTGAAATTGTTGGTTTATATTTTATAATTATAATTATTATACAAATAATAACAAATCCAAAAAAATAATAAGATGTTGTGCTACATTTTTTTTGCTTGTCGTATTACCTTTCTTTTTCTTTTTTTGACAACAAAAATAAGAAAATGATTCTATCAAGGTACCTTTTAATTTTTTTATGCTTTTCATTTTATTTTTTGACAATAAATACTTGTTATAATACTTGTTATATTGCCTTTTATTTTTTTGATAAGAAAATAAAAAAATATTGTATTACCTTTTTTTTTTTGAAAAACCTTTTATTTTTTATTTTTTTCCTTTTACTTTATTTTCTTCCTTTTAGACTTTTGTTTTTTTGAAAAACCTTTTATTTTTAAATTTTTTCTTGTCCAAGAAGAAATTGTGAGTCATAACCAACCACACCATGTAATAATAGTGTACTTTGAATTGCTGTCTAAACATTATAATAATTTTGTACGCACAATGTGTGAGAATTATCCCACATCGAAGCTTTAATATAAGTTTGCATAGTATAAATGTTTCTGCCGGGCCACCAATAAAAGCGTCAGTGACTTAGCAAGATTGAGCCCCATGCACTGCATGTGCCTGACGTGCGATATCAAAAATGCCCCAACAAATCAGATTTTACCCCTGAAATTACACGTCTCTCTCTAGACAAGAGTGACGTAATATGGTGGAATCGCACAAATCAGACTTTACCCCTGAAATTGCCCATCTCTCTCTAGACACGGGTAACGTAATATGGTGGAATCGCCTAGTTCTCTCTAGACACACGGGCGACATAATATGGTGTCTGTCTCCTAGTTCTCTCTAGATACGAGCGACCCACCTAGTTCTCGTCGCCTAGTTCTCTCTAGACACGGGCGACGTAATATGGTGCCCGTCGCCTAGTTCTCTCTAGACACGGGCGACCCACCAAGTTCTCGTCTCCTAGTTCTCTCTAGACACGGGCCAGTTATATCATACCAAAGTTTTACTGGTTACAATTATGTCTGGCCAAAGTTGTGGGGCTTGGGCTAGTAACTTTCTCATCGACCGTGCATGAGTAGGGTTCTCAAAAGTGGTATCGGTTTCAAAACCACGATCGGTGGGGCGATCATTTACCTTGAGGCCTGTATCGAATCACTGGATCGGTGATTCAAATCGGTTTGGATTAATCTAAAGGGAAAGTTTATATAGTGCGAAGCTCTAGTGCATCAAATTGGAGCCTACCTCAAAATTTTTACTAGGAGAGGTTGTTTTTATGCCCAAATATCGTTAAATTGATCATCTCGACACCAAGATGCATGAACATGAGGGAAAAAATGGATTTCATGTTTTGGAAATAATGTATTTTGTAACATATTTTTGGATCATCAATTTTCAAGTTTTTATAGATCTGTTGATCTACACTATTTTTGAAGCTTTAATCTTTATAAATAAAGATGAAAATATATTTTAAGGCTATTTTTGAAGCTTTAAACTCTATATAGCGGTTTGTATAGAGCCTAGGCTCTAAACAATCAAATTAGCCTACCTTTAAATAGTGTCGAGAAATGTGGTTGCACTGGTGGAAATCTTTGGGATAGCCTTAAAATATATTTCGTCTTTATTTATAAAGTTTAAAGCTTTAAAAATAGTGTAGATCAATAGATCAATTAAAACTTGAAAATTTTGAAAATTGACAGTCCAAAAATGCGTTACAAAATACACTATTTCCAAAACTCGAAATCCAATTTTTTCGCATGTTGATGCATCTTGATGTCGAGATGATCAATTTGATGATATTTGGGAATCAAAACAACTTTTGCTAGTGAAATTTTTGAGATAGGCTCAAATTTGATTGTTTAGAGCATCAGCTCTTTATAAACTTTTCCCAAAACTAAAATACAAATAAAAGAAAAAGTTTATATAGAGCCTAGGCTCTAGACAATCAAATTAGAGTCTACCTCAAAAATTACACTAGAAGAGGTTGTTTGGATGCTTAAATATTCTCAAATCGATCATCTCGACATCAAGATGCATGGATATGAGAAAAAAATGGATTTCAAGTTTTGGAAATAATGCATCTTGTAATGCATTTTTGGACCGCCAATTTTCAAAATTTTAAAGTTTTTATAAATCTGCTCGATCTATACTATTTTTGAAACTTTAAATTTGATAATTAAATATAAAAATATATTTTAAAGCTATCACAAATATTTCCAATATTGAAACCACATTTCTCGACACTATTTAAAGGTGGTCTCTAATTTGATTGTTTAGAGCCTCCGCTCCATGCAAACCGCATCCATAAATAAATAGAACAAAATAAAAATTAAAATAGAGATTTATAGATGGGACCTAAAAATAAAAGAAACAAATATAAAAGGATTTTTAGGAGGAAAAGAGCCGGTACCTTGACCATCCTAGAGCTGGTTGAGTCCCAATCATTTTCCACCCAGATTGGCGATCCAGATCGAAAATCATTGCGTTTTAAAACACTGTGTGGCATCAACATCATTAGCGGTTGCCAATATTAAAAACGACGATTATGAATATGGAGAAAAAAATAAAGCTTGAAATTAAGGAAAATTATACAAAGAGACAATTTAGTTTTTATACAAGGTCACAATTACTCTTGTCCATCAGATTTCAAATCGGATGGTTGTAAGAGTGTTATTGACTAAACTCAAAGTTTAAAAAACATTCTCAAACTTTGTGAAATATTTTAAGCCATCAAATTTTGCATCTAATGACTAATAGTAGTTGTGACCTCATTGTAACAAAGATAAACGGTCTCATAGTATACAATCTCTAAAATTAAAAAGACAACCTTTTCTAGATTATTTATAGGATGAAAGAAACCGACGTGTATAATATAGTTACAATCTCTATTTTAAAAAGACTAAAATCATTCAACAATCTTTTCAAAAATGAAATTTAGCTTTTGAGTTCTTAGCATTGATTTTGTTTTAAACTTTCAATCAAACATTAGACGACCTCTAAACATGATTTTTTATTTTTTATTATATATATATATATATATATCCCTCTAAGGGCCTGTTTGGATAGGAGGAAATTGGAATCTTGGATATTTGAATCCAATAAAATCTATGGATTTTTAGTATCAGGGATTTTTGTTATGGGTTCCTCAAATATCTTATTTGGATAAACTATACAAAATTTATGAATTCTTTACAATCATTTCCAAGTCCATTGTTTAGTAACAAAATTTGATAAAGATTCTCTCTAAAACTTTATTGTACTTTCTCTCTCTAAAACTCAAAATTTGGGATAGCGTCCCACTGAAAATTTTGAGATAATTTCTCTATCTAAAATTTGATATGATTTTTCAATCAAATTTTAATATATTTTCTCTCCAAAACATAAAATTTTTAATTGTTTCTCTAAACATTTTGAAATAGTGTCTCTCTCTAAAATGTTCAGGTGCTTTCTTACTCAAAAAAATTTCAGATACTTTCTCTCTCTAAAATTGAATGTATTTTCTTGCTCTAAAATTCTAAGATTCTCTCTCTCTCTCTCAAACTTAAAATTTGAAATAGTTTTCCTCTTGATATAGTTTTTCTCTCTAAAAATATTTAGGTAGTTTCTCTCTCTAAAATATAATATAGTTTTTCTCTCTAAAATTTTAAAATACTTTTTTTATCTAAAACTTAAAATTTGAGATAATTTCTCTCTAAAATTTTTGAGATAGTTGAGAATGGCATGGGCCTTAGCAGTAGTATTGTCGAGCCCTAAGAGGAGGTCTTTTGACTCCTTTCTCACCAAAAGGTCCTCCTTGATATACCACTTTTACTTATCCTTTTTTATTTTATTTAGACAGTTCCTCTCTCTATAAATTTTTAGGTACTTTCTCTCTCTAAAATTTGATATAGTTACTATGTCTTACATTTTTAAGATTCTTTCTTGCTGTAAAACTTAAAATTGGAGATAGTTTCTCTCTCCAAAAAATTTGACATAGAAACTATATAAAAAT